TATGACTATGCTGCAACAGCTATTTTCATTAACTCCTTTTTAAACCCGGTTTTGTACTGTTGGAGAATCAGCGAGATACGGCGTGCTGTGAAGAATATCATGAGAAGAAATCTTGTATGGTCAATTCAGGTGTAACACAGACGGACGCCTTTAAACGTTTTGTATAACATTCTTACAGTTTCTTTGAAACGTTTTTGAGTCCAACTCGAAGGACCGGAAGCTCTCACGGTTGTTGGTTAGGCTAAGCTTTATTTATTTATCTAAGGTTAAGAATTAAGTAAATATTTTTATGCATTTCTCCTCAGCTGTTTCTTAACATATAGCCCTTCTTGGTAGTTAAATAATTTCGCGAGTCTTTTGCGATTTTAGAAAAAATCGCCAAATTAAAGACCCACGAAGACTGAAATCCCCGCGAAATTTAATAGCCATATAGAAAATTCAAATTACAGAAAAAAAAAAAACAAGTAATAACAGCAAAATATACAGAATATACATCGACAAATACACATTTTTTAAATTAGTTTTACTGTTAAGTTCCATTTTGTATGTTCCATTTTGAATAATAATAATAATTTTATTATGACCATCTTGTCCCGAACCTTTCTCGCTGCGTATTATAACTGTTTAGATAAAAAGATAGAACCCGGAAACCATAATGAGTGCATTTATGGAAATAATTGACTACATTATAAATTTTACAGTAATAATTAGAATGTTTGTCACCAAATATGTGGCTTAAAATTCTTTGAGGATACTTGTTGCGTGATCCGGAACCTGCCACTGGCCTGCAGCATAAAAAGAGCTGTCTCAAGAAATTTATGAAACTCAAACTGCGAAAACTGCCACCAAATTGAGCGAAACATAAAAATAACCTCTCAAACCGTTAGAAAAAGATATAAATATCACAACAAATACACTAAAAAAGGGAAGATGTTGAAGAAGATTGAAGCGGATGGCAATTCATGTGGTTTTTGCAAACCGGTTAGCCTAACAGTTTTTTAAAGTTCAGAATTATTTGTTGAGAGACATATTTGTTTGACACGAAGCTGTTATTTTGTCATTCATAAGTAATTTCTCCATTTCCAAGGCAAACAAGGACGCGTAATTGGCATATGATTATTAACATCAAGATGAGCATTGTTGGTAGCCTTAACACAACCCCTTTAGGACTTATGGCTCACGTTCTCTCTCTGAAAATCGTCTCTCAAAAAAGAAAAAAAAAAAAACTCAAAAAGTCGATCTTTCTAAGTCTGCTGTGAAACCGCCACAGATCTTTCTTTCTTAACGTCTAATGGTACAATATATTCAGAACAGCAGCTGTTGAACTTATAACTTCCTGTTATGATTTTCTACCTTGATAAAGATGACTGAGAACAGATTAAACTTGGAATCACATTCCGAATGTCAACGTTTGGATGGATGTTTTCCACTCAATATTAATTTGGTCTTGATGCTTAACATTGTAAAACTGCATTGTTATTGAACTTTAATATTGAAACATTGGTTTTGGTAAAGGTATACGCGTGTAGTCTCATCTTCTGAATAAAAAACAAATGCCCTTTTCACAGGCATAAATTAAAATCTGACGATCGCTGGAAAGGTCCCGAAGCTACACTAAGTACTCGCCTAGCATTTATATGGCTTAAGTGTAGTGCCAAAAATTTACATCGTTGCAGTTAATATTGTTCCTAGAAGTATTCGTCATTTTAGATATGTTAACGTGTGATCAACATTGTTGTAATTCATGACAACCAATCGTAATTGTCAGTGTGAGCGTAAAGAAGTAGTCTATTATTTATGTTATGACGTAAGTATAAAACTGGCAATCAGTTTTGTCACGAACGTGCCTTAAAAACGTGCGATGTTGTATATTAGGAAAATTTTGAAGTGTGCTGGATCAGTTGAATCGATCTACGCATGCTGAGTTTTTTTTCAGTCGTAACCTGAGCTTGAGTTAGTATATGAGCATCAGATGACAAGAAAAAAAAATGAAAAAAAATTACCAGTGCAATCCGAATGCTGACTCCACGAAGAGCGACTAGATAAAGATAGACTAGCTTCAATTCATCTGGCGCTAGCTGAGAACGGCTTTCTGGCAGCACGCTTCAGTGTTCGCCATGAACAATACAGAAAAAGACTGTTTCTTCTTTGAAGATCAGCTTCACTTTGATAGCACGGAAGAAGTCTTCATTACAAATATTGTAACATGTATCCTGAACTCTTTTTTTTCTTTGCTTACATGCATAGGAAACTTTATTGTTGTATTTGTGATTGGAAAAACCCGAGATCTACATTCGCCATCGTTCATCCTTTTGGGTTGTCTTGCTGTTTCAGACCTTCTGGTTGGCCTTATATGTCAACCGCTTTTTGTGGGGTATAAAATAGCGGAACTTGAGAAGAATTTCGCTGTGTTTTGTACTTTGAACGTGGTTCAGTCTCTGTCAGGTTTTACGACATCTGGTGTTTCTTTCGCCATCTTAGCTGCAGTGTCAATTGACCGACTTTTAGCACTAACTCTTCATCTACGATACAACACGATTGTCACTGTTCCTCGCGTATTTCAAACAACTATTGCTTTGTGGATCTTTGCTACAGTGACCGTTCTACCGAGGTTTTGGATGGCAAACAAATGGTATTTTATCCCGATAGCATTATGGTTTCTTACATTCTTTGTCATCATGATAAGTGTCTGGAAAATATTCCGAATTGTTCGAAAACACCAACAGCAAATAAAG